ATTCTGCAATATGTAAAAGATAATGAAAACTAATAAGAGTTGCCTGTAAATGTTCAGATTTTTTTTGATAATATTCTCTAAAAAAATAAATTAATTAAGGGTAGGGTGAAATGATCTACATTTCAATAGTGATCATGTTACTAAAATTTTAACAATAACATTTTAATTAAAATCAGGTGATGATTATATGTTATTTATGTTGTGTAATTTAGGCAAATTTCGATTAAGTTAGGAAGAATTAATGATATATTTAAGTATATTTTTTTCAAATATAACAAAGGTTCAAATTCTATTATTATAATTGGATAAGTTTAATATATATACTGTAAAAATTTTATAAAAAAAAATTAGATTTTTAAAAACTTTTATATGTAACATATGTTTAATTTTTGAGTAAAATTTTTTTAGTTGATATTCTTATATAGAAAATGATCTACATTCACCCTACCCTTAAAATATGACGCCTTGGCTAGGGTTAGCAATTGAGTTAGAAGGTGCTCTTATACTAAAATTTTACAAGGAATTTTTTTTTATTAGTGCACAAAAGACATGATTTTTCAAAAATCAAGTGATTGTTTTTAATTTTCACGTTACACCCTGATCCGTCCTCTGATTGGCCAGAATTGTGAAACCTGAGATAAAATTAGTAAATGCGTACCGTATTTCGCTATAGAAAGTACCCAGGGTCTCTTACTATCTAAACTGGTTTTTCTTGATTTATACTCCCCGGGTATACTGTATAGCAGAGAGTATACTATATGGGGTTTTTTGTAAAGATCATATTATGAAAACAATGAAAACAATATGTTTTTATATATCACATGCATAAAAACCACCATTTATTGTACTGGGTCTTGTACTAAAAATACAGGTTATAGACCTGATAATATACCTGGTATAAATCAAGGGGGTACATTCAACCAAAGGGTACTTTACAAGGCGAAATATAGTACTAGAGTTGCTAGTAAAACTGGTAAAACTTGGTGAAACTGGTGACTAACTAAAATCTGATTGGCTATTGAATGCAATAGCCAATCAGATTTTAGTTAGTCATCAGTTTTCACCAGTATGATTTAGTTTCACCTGCAGCTCTAATGTGTATATACCTAGAAAATAATTATCCAAGTCACTCAAATGTTATATAATTTTTTTTTATACATTTTACAATACTTCTATTAAAAAGCTTGGGCCAATCAAATTTGCAATGTTTTACAATACTAAAAGGCTTCAGATAACAAATCTTTTCTAAAATATGTGAAGCTTTTGCTCTATATTTTGATAATATCAACTGAATCCACCTAAATCTGCTAACTTTTATATTATAGTTTACTTAGGGAAGTGTCATTTATCACCTGATTTTTTGTAAATAGTAAATATTCCCTCCTCCCTTACATGATAAAATTTATGGGTCCCAATTATTTTTGCTACATTCATTTCTAACAATAATAAAACTGATTAATTATATACCAATGTACATGATACTTTGTTAGGGAACCCCATTCTAAAATAATCAGATGATAAATAACACTTCCCTTAACAAAAAAATATCTGAGACTAAGAAATATATGGAATGTGAAGCTACTAAATTGTTTAAATTTTATTTATTAATAGAAAATAAATAGAAAGAAGCTAAAGCTTATAATTTGCTAAAAGTAACTTGAAAAAAAAATTATTATTTATATTATTTTTATTACATGAATTGTGTAGAAAATCAATTAAAAAGATTAAAAAGAGAAGCCAAATGATCAAAAATCTTGATTAAAAAAGCAGTTGTAGTTGAAACCAATGTAGATATAGCTGAAGCCAATATAGTTAAAGTAAAAGACGTTGTTAAAGTAGATGTTATTGAAGAAGTAGATGTTATTGAAGAAGTAGATGTTATTAAAGAAGTAGATGTTGTTGAAGAAGTAGATGTCATTGAAGAAGTAGATGTTATTAAAGAAGTAGATGTTGTTAAAGAAGTAGATATAATTAAAAATTTAGTTGATATAATTGAAGCAGATGTAGAAGATATTATTAGAAAAAAATAAAAAATAAAATTAAAGAAAACATAAAATCAAGAGATACAAAAATTACAATAAGAGAGAATGTAGAGGTCATAAATAAGGAGGAGTTAAATATAAAGTAAAAGGGGGTATTGTAGCAAAGAGAAGTATTGTGGCAAATTTAGCTTATCTCGTTTCTAATAATTCAAATCGGTTAATTTTTATATCATTTGAATTGTCTCATAGAGATGAATCGAATGGTGATTAGAACATCTAATTCTGATCACTAGATCATAAGATATTAATGATTATATGCAATTTCAAAATAAACTTGAGGGAATTATGCCGAAATTTTGGTGCTTCATATAATCGCAAATATCTTGTAATCTAGGGATTAGAATTAGATGATTTGACCACTAATCAATTTGTCTCAATGAGACAAATTGAATAGTATAAAAATTATCTGGTTCAGATCATTATATCACAAGATAGCCTAAATTCGCCACAATACCCCCATCCCTCTAAAATTTAACTTTTTGTTTGATACACAACTCTAAGAATTGCTTCTTCGAAACAATCTTCTATATTACCAATTTTTTATAAAAACAATTCTAAATAAATATACAATCTAAATAAAAAATAAAAAATTATTTTTATAATAAAAATAAAAAAAAATTTATATTAATTTTTTTAACTTTGCCAAAATACCTCCTTTTACCTTAATTAATCTTATTAAAGTTATTAAATCGATGGCAAAAATCTTTTATCAGAGAAAACATGTATGAAAAGAAGGTTCTATTTATTTATTTGATGAAATGTGAGAGTTACTTTCACAAATTAATCCAAGCCTCAAAGATTTTTTAACTAACTCCATTTAATAGCTCGACTCTTAGAATATTGTAAACAGACAATAAGCATATGAAAAGATTAATGGTATTTTTATACTATCTTCTTGTGTTGTTAAATAATTCAAAAATCAATTCTTTTAAATTCAATTTAGCATACTATTTAGATTCTGTAGATACAAGTAACGAGAGTCTGAATATATTAGCCAATATCGATATAACTACAACTACAAGAACAGTAGATAATAGAAAAAAAGTTTCAGATCCATAAAAAATATATAAAAACGATCTGAAAATTCTTTTGTATTAAATATTGATAATTATCACAATATTCATGTTTTATAACAACAACCTGATACATCTTAAACAGTACACATAATAACAATAGTAATGAATCCTTGTCTTATACTAGCCATATCATACAATGAAGCAATTAATCCAAAAATTGTTGCTGATAGGCTAATTTTAAAGCATCTTAATAAATGATTTATAGCCAATCTTGGAATTTCTTATCATGATTATATAAAAAATTATATAGATAAAGGTTTAATAATAATCTTATAGAAAAACTAATATTACATAGTTATAATAACAGGTTGATAGAAAAAAAAAGCAATAAACATATACAAAATGTCATCCTTTTTAATTTTATCAAAAGTAACTTGAAGAATATTGAGAATATATAAAAGCTTTTCAAATTACTGTATATATAATTAAAGATCAATAAAAGAATATCATTCTAATTATATAATATTGGTTATTGCTGATTAGTCTAAATAGTTCTTTATTTACAAAGCTATTACACACTGGCTTCTTCTTGACAATGAAGTTATTCCTTAGTTTGTTATAGTATTTTTGCCTATGATGGGTCCTCTTTATATTTCTTTAAATAGTTATGAACTCATTTTTAACAAAAATTCTTTTTGTTTAATGAGATTTATAAAGATATTTTTAGAGAAGATAAAGTTCTTAGTAAGATGCCACAGCCATGATAGATTGATTTAATTTTTTATATTATATGCATAGCCTGGCTTAAAATAGTAAACGTTGTTTATTTAAAGTTTTGTCATATTTATAAAAATATTAAATTTTTATATTTAACTGATCTTTTAAGTAACTTAATTCTATTAGTTCTTAATGCATCATTATAAAAATAATTGGCTAGCTTATAAAGAAGCTTGTATATATTACTGAAATGATCTTTTTCTTCAATTTGATTAAAAAATTATAAACATGCTTCTTTAATGTTTTTTTCCAGTTATTTTCTTTTAAACAAATACTAACTATCTATTAATAAATATAGTTACTAATCATTTCATCTCTTTAAGTAATTGTTCTGTAGAAATTGTTCACAGTATTATTTGATAATACACAACTAAGTTTTTGGAGGCAAAGCAATTGCAGAAAGAGTCATATAGTATTGCAACAACTACTTATTTCAAAAAATTTTGTTAATTGTATCAAATATCTATATATGTTCAAACAATTAGATATACTTTCTCAAAAATGTGCTATATTATCTTAAGGCTTATTTAAAAGATATTTCAAGCTTGTTATCAATATTCTCTAATTATCAATTCATCTAACAATATTAATATATATAAATTATATTCTTTAGATTACAAAATAATAGATTTTCATCTTTTAAGAGATTTTGTTACTTTCAAAAAACCTTTTACAACTACTTTATATGATTACTTAAATTGTAATTGTATTGATTATTTGAATTGTGATAAAATTCTTTTATGTAGACATGATTACTATAATTAGTGCTTAGAGAAATATCAATCTAAATATTTGATATGTTTAGATTATCTTAAAGAAGAAATTAAAAAAATGTTAATGTGCTGAAGGAAAGTCTAGTAAAAAAATTTAATAAGTGAATTTATTAACAAAAAAAGGAAAATATAGTTGAGAAAATATCGAAATAATAATGGGCAGTATAATAATAAAAGAATTAGAATTTGTAAAAAAATTGTTTTTTGAAATTTAATATATATATTTTTTATTTAATAAATTGATTATATAATTTGCTTTATTTATTATAGGAATGTCTATTTCTATCATGGTATTTTGCTATTTCCACTATGGTTATACAAAAATTACTATTTTTAGCATTTAATATAGAAAGTATAATAA